TTTATCCACAAACATCTGCTTTTATCCGCAAACATCTGATTTTATCCACAAACATCTGTTTTAATCCGCAAACATCTGATTTTATACGCAAACATATGTTTTAATCTGAAAATGTCTGCTTCTATCCGCAAACATCTGATTTTATCCGCAAACATCTGATGTTATCCGCAAACATCTGATTTTATCCGCAAACATCTGATTTTATCCGAAAACATCTGATTTTATCCGCAAACATCTGATGTTATCCGCAAACATCTGATTTTAATCGCAAACATCTGATTTTATCCGCAAACACCTGCATTTATCCGCAAATATCTGCTTTTATCCGCGAACATCTCCAAAAATCTGCTTTTAATTGCAAATCTCTGCTTTCATCCGCGTTCGGTTTGCCTGCATTTCCTTTGTCCATTTCGGTCCTGTTTCGTACGCAAACGTCTGGTTTCATTCGCGCTTTTTGTTTTCCTTTTTCTCGTGTATACTTTAGTTTAGTTTATCCGCTTTGTCAAATTTTACTGAGCTTTCCGCGAACATCTGCAAACATCTGCTTTTAACTGCAAACCTCTGCTTTCATCCGCGTTCGGTTTGTCTGCATTTCCTTTGTCCATTTACATAGGTCCTGTTTCGTACGCAAACGTCTGGTTTCATTCGCGCTTTTTGTTTTCCTTTTTCTCGTGTATACTTTAGTTTAGTTTAACTGCTTTGTAAAATTGTACTGAGCTTTAACTAACTGTCACACAACTTTATAACTCTAAAAGGAATTATTTGAATAAAAACAACCTGTAAAGGAAATAAGTTTATTGAACTTCAATATTATTTGGTAAAATACAAATAAGGTCTTTGTTAAAGGACATAAATAGATATTTTTTAATCATTAAGCTTACATTTAAATTAATTGTTAGAAAACATATATGTTTAATTTCAAATACATTTGGAATTATAACATCTTCAATTTGTATGGAATTTGTTTGAAAAACATTTATTTAGGCGTAGAATTTTTCATCTAACTTTAAAAACTTTTTAATTTTGGCATAACCAATATTTTTAATATATATGTAAGAATTAATAGACTTATTATAATATATTTCTGTGGTACTCTTCACTATAGTAAGTATACCTGATTTTTAAATTTAAATCTGGTGAATATAATTAAATTATTTTCCCATTGGGAAAATGTCGTGTTGAATAAACTTATTTCCTTTACAGGTTGTTTTTATTCAAATAAGTCTTTTTAGAGTTATAAAGTTGTGTGCCGTGAACGGCTAACAACCAGTTAGTTAAAGCTCAGTCAAATTTGACAAAGCAGGTAAACTTAACTAAAGTATACACGAAAAAAGGAAAACAAAAAGCGCGAATGAAACCAGACGTTTGCGTACGAAACAGGACCGAAATGGACAAAGGAAATACAGGCAAACCGAACGCGGATGAAAGCAGAGATTTGCAATTAAAAGCAGATGTTTGGAGATGTTCGCGGATAAAAGCAGATATTTGCGGATAAATGCAGGTGTTTGCGGATAAAATCAGATGTTTTCGATTAAAATCAGATGTTTGCGGATAAAAGCAGGTGTTTGCGGATAAAAGCAGATGTTTGCGTATAAAATCAGATGTTTGCGGATAAAAGCAGATGTTTGCCGATAAAAGCAGATGTTTGCGGATAAAATCAGATGTTTGCGGATAAAAGCATATGTTTGCGGATAAAAGCAGATGTTTGCAGATTAAAATAGATGTTTGCGGATAAAATCAGATGTTTGCGGATAAAAGCAGATGTTTGCGGATAAAATCAGATGTTTGGAGATTAAAATTTTAACAGATGTTTGCGGATAAAAGCAGATGTTTGCGGATAAAATCAGATGTTTGCGAATAAAATCAGTTGTTTGTGGATAAAATCAGATGTTTGCGGATAAAAGCAGATGTTTGCAGATAAAATCAGACGTTTACGGATAAAGGCAGATGTTTGCGGGGGTGCACTAACCGGATGAAATAAGGCGTTCGCAGATAAAAGCATGTTTACGGGTGAAACTGTATGAAAGCAGATGTTCGCGGATAAAATGAGATGTTTGCGGATAAAAGCAAATGTTTGGGGATGAAAGCAGATGTTTGCGGATAAAAGCAGATGTTCGCGGATAAAATGAGATGTTTGCGGATAAAAGCAGATGTTCGCAGATAAAAGCAGATATTTGCGGATAAAATCAGATGTTTGCAGATAAAAGCAAATGTTTGGGAATGAAAGCAGATGTTTGCGGATAAAAGCAGATGTTCGCGGATAAAATGAGATGTTTGCGGATAAAAGCAGATGTTCGCAGATTATTGCAGATGTTCGCAGATTATTGCAGATGTTCGCGGATAAAACAGATGTTCGCGGATGAAAGCAGATGTTTGCGGATAAAAGTAGATGTTTGCGGGTGATTGCAGATGTTCGCGGATAAAAGCAGTTGTTCGCGGGTGACTGCAGATGTTCGCGGAAGAAAGCAGATGTTTGCGGATAAAAGCAGATGTTCGCGGATAAAATGAGATGTTTGCGGATAAAAGCAGATGTTCGCGGATGATTGCAGATGTTCGCGGATGAAAGCAGATGTTCGCGGGTGATTGCAGATGTTCGCGGATAAAAGCAGATGTTTGCGGGGGTGCACTAACCGGATGAAATCAGGCGTTCGCAGATAAAAGCATGTTTGTGGGTGAAACCGTATGAAAGCAGATGTTTGCGGATAAAACCAGACGTTTGCGGATGAAAGCAGATATTCGCGGGTGATTGCAGATGTTCGAGGATAAAAGCAGTTATTCGCGGGTGACTGCAGATGTTCGCGGATGAAAGCAGATGTTCGCGGATAAAAGCAGATGTTGGCGGATAAAATCAGATATTCGCGGATGAAAGCAGATGTTCGCGGATGATTGCAGATGTTCGCGGGTAAAAGCATATGCTCGCGGATAAAACCAGACGTTTGCAGATAAAACCCGACAAAAATAGACGAAAAAAAATGCAGGAAATCGCGGATAAAAACAGACGTAAGCAGACGTTTGCAGATGATTCCGGACAAATTCAGATATAAACGAAACACAGTGAAGACGGTTAAAAACAGATGATTGCAGATGATTGCGGGGGTGCACTAACCGGACATAAAACACAACCAACCGGGTGTTCGCGGATATAGCGATGCGGACAAAAGCAGATGTTATCAGATGATATTTTTACCCGCTTTTATCTGCTTTTATCCGGCTTCGACGAAGAATTTATACCCGCAATCATCTGCTTTTATCCGGTTTTGACGAAGAATTTATATCCGCAATCATCCGTCATTTTCAGCAGGGGTTGCCAACCGTCCTTTATTTCAAAGGACAGTCCTTTATTTCTAAATACTGCCCTTTGTCCTTTTGAAAGGTGTCAAAGGACGGCAAATGTCCTTTAAAATCCGGAAATACAGATAAAACCACAATTATTTCAAAAAAGGCCCATACAAATACCATAAAATGTAAAATTGGCAACATTTGAAATATTTTGGTAAATTCCCGAGCTCCAATTTATCCAGCATACCTTGTATTTTTATTTTGTTCCTCGTTGTGTTGAGCCCTTGTGTGTAGTCGACTAGTCCCTGTGTGTAAGGTGTTTTTTTTTAACCTTATTTTACAACTTTTTAACAGGAAACGGTAAGTGGAAAATACAATATTAAAATTATATTATTAGATTTCAGTTTTTTGTCGCAATATATTTTTAAACTTTAATTTTAAAATTAAATTAAACAGATTCATAAAAAGTAGCATTTTCTATTTTAAACAAGTAGTTGCCTAAATGCCAAATCATTATTTATTTGCAGGTTTTTGCTAAACATCATTAATCAAATCATCATGAATGGTGATAAAGTCGTCGATGCAAGTGATGATGTCCCAAAGTCACAGACATCTACGTCAAGCGGTACCCCTTCTACACCACCTCGTCCAAAAAAAAATCGGAAAAGCTGTAAAGTAGACGTGGCACCCAAAAAAATCCCAATTTGTCCTTTATTTCAATAACCGAAAGTTGGCAACCCTAGTTGGGTGGGCACGTGCCCTTGTGCCCTTTAGAACCAGCTGCCACCAAGATACATACACCGTAGCTGCCACTGAAAGGCGGTATAGGCAAAGATGCGCGCTATATACTCTATAAAATTCGGTAAATGTTCAAAGATGGAAAAGTATAAAAAAACACAACGCATTATTACCACTTTCACGAAAATTTAGTTTAAAAAATTTGAAAACTTAAAAAGTTGGTAGATTTTTCTTGCAAAGTAGATCTATAAATTTGAGCAAAACCCTAAAAGTAGATCTACCCACAATCCACACATGTGTGTGGATTGTGGATCTACCGAAAAATTGGTAAAGTTGACAACCCTGCTCGGCTGTACACATTTTTGGCCAATACCTCAGAATAGGTTAAAATGGATTTGTAGACTTTTGCATGAAAGCTCCATAATTATTACTTTAAGTTTTTGCAACAACCATAGAAAAAGAATAAGCAACAACCACATGATACAAACAGGTAGTTTATTTAATTTTACAGCGTTGGCGATATATTTTTTTAAGCATTTATAAATCACATGCAAACATATCTCTATCTTTGTCTGCTCGATTGTCGATTAATTTTTGGTCTCACTTTAATTTGTCTGAGATTGATTTTAAGTACGTTTTGTCCTATGTTGCCGTTTGCGGGTATTTTACCCGAAAATCGGGTATTTTCGTCATGCGGATAAAATATCGGTATTTTGCATATTATTTTCAATATAATTTAAAATACTAACTAATACAATTTTCAGTAAATAATGGTGCATATTTACTAAATAAACATATTTTTTTATTTGATCCTGTTAATATTCTTGTTGACTAATTCAAAATTTAATTCATTTTTTAAAATACATTTTGCCCTATTGGGCAAATGCACTAGAAATTTTACTCTTGCGGGTAAAATCGGGTATTTTTTAATTTTTGGTCAGGAACTTTCATGAAATTAATCCGGCAACACTGGTTTTGTCAGAAAACAAATTTTGTCCTAACCTCAAATGTCATTAATTAATGTATTTATCAAAAAAGCTAATCTACAAACAAATAAAATGTAATTATAGTTTTATGAATGCAATTTTTATCATCTGAAAACCCCACGTATTAACTAGAATTATGTAATATAAAAATATTTTTTCAATGTGATAAGTTTAGTGGTTTGGGGCCCAAAATGGCTAGACAGGATTCTTTGTGTAACCAATCACTTTTGGAGGCCGGCGACCGCCCTTTGGAGAGGCCGCTGGGAGAGCCGGGAGACGTGAAAACACAGTTTGTGACTAGGGAGGGCACGTACCGCCTAATGACACTCAGTGAATACTCTAGGCCCAATAGAGTTGGATACCAGCCTCAGGGGCAAACTCCCCCTCAAGTGAAAGTATCACTGGTCACATTGCCTGATACAAGTGAAAGAATCTGCTTTAACCATGCAAGAGAACTATATGTTTATGTGTACAAAGGTATAAAGAAGGCAGCTGATTTAAGTAAACCTTTGGAAAAAAGGATTTACAAGGGGACTAATCCTACCTGTCATGATTTTAATTCCAGTTCTGCCTCAGTAGATGGAGTTAACTTATTAATAGGTTTTAGTACTGGCCAAATTCAACTAATAGATCCTATAAAAAAGGAAATAACTAAATTATTTAATGAAGAAAGATTAATTGATAAGAGTAGAGTGACATGTTTAAAATGGGTTCCTGGTAGTAGATCTCTTTTTCTATCTGCTCATGCTTCAGGACAATTTTATGTTTACAATGAAGAACTGCCATGTGGTTCTGCAGCCCCTCACTATCAGCCTTTCAAAGCTGGGGATGGGTTCACTGTGAATACTTGTAAGACTAAATCAACACGAAACCCCTTGTTTAGGTGGCTGTTGGGGACAGGGGCAGCAATAAATGACTTGGCATTCAGCCCAAATGGATTGCAACTGGCTGTGGTTTCTCAGGATGGAATATTAAGAGTATTTCAGTATGATAGTATGGAACTGTTGGGTTCAGCCCGATCATATTTTGGAGGTTTATTGTGTGTGGCTTGGTCTGGAGATGGGCAATTAATTGCTGTAGGTGGAGAAGATGACTTGGTTACTGTTTATTCCATGGAACAGAAACGGGTGGTTGCAAGGGCTCAAGGACACAGGTCTTGGATAGCAGCAGTGGCATTTGATTGGTTTTTGGAAGCAGAATCATGTTATAGAATAGGATCAGTAGGTCATGACACACAAATTTGTCTATGGGAAATACCTGAAGATAATGTGGCTCCCCCAAGGCCCAGGGTAAAAAGAAAACCAGATCCCCTGCTACTGGTAGGCACCCCTGCCTGTCCCAGACTTGATGAATGCCCCATTTTGGAGCCTCTAGTTTGTAAAAAAATTGCTCATGAAAGGTTAACAGCCATAGGTTTTAGACCAGATTGTATTATTACAGCATGTCAGGACGGTTATGTTTACACATGGGCAAGGCCCCCATCATAATACAAAATAATATTTTTGTAAATTACTAAAGTACTTTTTGTAATCTATTTTTTGTACAAATCATAGTTATGTATATATTGTATTAAATTATATCTGCATGATGTAGATAATATTTTAAATTATTTTCTCTATAATATGTATGTTCTTGTAATGTACGAATAAATCATATCTAAATTATAACAGTTTTTTTAAATTTACCTGTAAAGTAAAATTATTTTTAAGGGACAAGGCCTTTAAACCAATAGAAACAAAATCCATTTTTTAGTTCTTTTAACCGAATTTTAATTTTAGAAAAATTATTTAAACTTGTTAAAATAGGTACTGTTTATTTTTTAACTCAGTGGCCACTTTTTTAAACTGAAAAAACCTTTTATCGGTTTTTAGTTATTTTGAAAAAATTTCCCTGGTCATAATTTTTAATATTTCCTAGAACTACTCACAATTCTTTAAAATATTTTGTAAGAGTTGGAAGACATAGTTTTGGACCCTAGACATAATCCGGGAAATTTTATAATTTTGTTATAGGTATATTTTATTTTTTAGATTTTAGCCTTTTTGGACAGTTTTTTTGTTGGATCTGCAGCTTGCAGAACATCTTAAAGATTATTTTGATTCTTTATTTTTTTTAAACGACTTAAAATTGAATAATACTTTTTAAAAAAAAGTATGAACTAATAAAATACATTTTTTTTCAGTGAGATATTAAAAACCTTTCCTATAAATGTATAATTTTACTACTGTTTTAAATACCCCATAGAGATCCTGTTCAAACCGATAGATATTTGTATCAGAATGTATGGTGTTTCTATAGGGTGTATTGGTATGTATAGGACCCATAGTTGGGATTCATGGTTGTTCTATAGGGATATCCACCCTTGATTTATTTGCTATTGGTTTCAATGGGGAAAATACACATAAATTAGAAATTAGTTTTTCTCCCATAGGACCCAATAGGTTTTAACAAAATTTTGTCAAATGTTTTATGGTTGCTTCATAGGGATATCCCTATATGTATATAAGTATTTATAATGCAAAAGAGAGCCTTACAAAACTTAGCACTTAACACTTAAAATGCACCCAGCAAACCAGGCTGTTCCATTTACATAACCATGATATAACTAACAAAGAACATTGCCATATAAAATTGTTTACATAACATTTACATATTAGTTCTTTATTTTGTTACATAATTATGATAAATCATAGTAATATAACATTTATATAAATATGTTCCCCTCTTGTTATATTTACATCCCCCTTATGTATCAGCCATATAACAATGTTATATATCTACAATGGAACAATGATACATCATTGATATATGGCAATGTTTTATAGTATCCATACAACCTTATTATATGGTATTTACATAGTTTTTCTTTATTTTGTTACATAATTATAATAAAACATTTTAATATAATAGTTATATCAAAATGATCCCTTCTTGTTATATTTACATCCCTATTATGTCATGGCTATATAACAATGTTTTATACCTACATTGTAACAATGATATATAAATGTTATATATTAATGTTTTATAGTATTTATATAGCCTTTTTATCTTACTAACGAACTCGTTTAAACGGTTGTGTCGAGTGCTCTCTATTGTGTTTTAAGTTAAGTTAAGTTTGATTCCATTTTTTTATAATAAAATGGAAGAAAAAAATAGAACAAAATATATTTCCCTATCCCGGAGGCAAAAGCGGAGGAGAATTAATGCAGATCTCAAAATAATGGGTGTTGAGGTAACCCAGCAAACCAGGCTGTTCCATTTACATAACCATGATATAACTAACAAAGAACATTGCCATATAAAATTGTTTACATAACATTTACATATTAGTTATTTATTTTGTTACATAATTATGATAAAACATAGTAATATAACATTTATATAAATATGTTCCCCTCTTGTTATATTTACATCCCCCTTATGTATCAGCCATATAACAATGTTATATATCTACAATGGAACAATGATACATCATTGATATATGGCAATGTTTTATAGTATCCATATAACCTTATTATATGGTATTTACATAGTTTTTCTTTATTTTGTTACATAATTATAATAAAAAAATTTAATATAATAGTTATATCAAAATGATCCCTTCTTGTTATATTTACATCCCTATTATGTCATGGCTATATAACAATGTTTTATACCTACATTGTAACAATGATATATAAATGTTATATATTAATGTTTTATAGTATTTATATAGCCTTTTTATCTTACTAACGAACTTGTTTAAACGGTTGTGTCGAGTGCTCTCTATTGTGTTTTAAGTTAAGTTAAGTTTGATTCCATTTTTTATAATAAAATGGAAGACAAAAATAGAAAAAAATATATTTCCCTATCCCGGAGGCAAAAGCGGAGGAGAATTAATGCAGATCTCAAAATAATGGGCGTGGAGGTAAGAAATTGTATAGAAAATACCCAAGACAATGTGGAATATACTGAGGCTAAAACCGAAGTATTATCTTTCCCTAACCAGCCAATAAATAAACATATAATAAAAATATTTTTACAGAAAATTTGGGAGAATATTCAGGAGGTCATAGGAAAAATTCCCATACTTTTGTGGAAGATTTGCAAGATTTGTGTAATAGATACTTACCTATAGTCAACTTTTTATTAATGATCTGTTAAAAGTTTTGAGAAAACATTATTGCAAAAAGAAGTAGAGGCTGAATTTGTAAGTATATAAAGGGTGATTTTTAAACCTGTTTAATAATGTTAATTTGTTTTTAAAACAGGGTGCTAAAAAACAAGCGACAAATTATAATTTAATGATATTTGGTAGCCAAAATAAGAGTTTAATTTCTATATATTTTTTAACTTTATACTGTTTTTTCAACTGGTACTTAAAAGATACAATTATTTTGCTAAATACCTAACCAAGATGGATAAACTTTTTTATTATAATTGTTGTGACAATTAATTTTATGCAAATTCCATATTTTTCATTATTTTTATATCTCTTAAGGTTGCAGGGTGCATTTGACTTGAATAAATAAAATCAAACAAATTATTATTTGTACCAAATATCATTTACATAACTACATAAAGAATAGTTGTTCTTTGTTTTGAAAACAAATCAATAAACAAAAATAATATTAAATTGTATTTTTTTTTTCAGTTTCAGTATATATAACAAAAATTGGAGGCGTCTCAGAGAAAGATGCCACAGTAAGAGTTATAAAGAAAATCTTCTCAAATAATTTGGCAAAAGATTGCTCTTGGCTGGGGCTAAGAAACAACAATAAAATTCAAAATTTGAAATATTGAAGGGTAAAAATGTAAATTTTATGGGATTTTTTATTAAATAAATTTTTTTAAGCTGCTGTACTTCGACAGACAAAAATTTTGAAGGCATAGTTTCCGAATGGTTCCGGCAGGCCAAACAAAGATTTGGTATACCCTATAGGGAAGCAAAAAACCCATGAAAAGAAGGTATATTAATATTAAATTCATGGGATTGCTTTATCTTTTTTACCATATATTTTTTAGCTTTGAAGTATACTTCAATTCAATTAATATATTAATGTATTTGGGATTTTTTTTTGTTTGGAAAAACTTTTCGTTTGTTTTAAGAAGTTAGAAAGAAGAAATGATTTGTTTTTTTAATTAAAATAATTTTTAATAAACATTTAAACCAATTTGTTTTTTTTTAATCTCTTTCAGAATCATTTATTTTTGTAATGTTTACTTATTATTTATGTAATATTTATTTATAATTTATTTAATATATAATCTAACTGGCATTAACAATTTCTTAGTTCTAATTTGGTATTATGGCAATTTTAAAATTTTGTTGATTTTTTTTTCAAAAAATTTGCCATAATACCAAGTTAGGGCTAATCAATTTTTAATACCAGTAAGATAATATATTACATGAAATTATATTTATAAATATTTCATAAATAATATGTAAATATTGCATAAATTATATATAAATAAGTAAATGCAACATTTATGTAAATACGTTTACATAACTATGATATGGCGCTGTAACATTACAGTTACATATCTATGATAAAACACTGTTACATCACAGATACATACCCAGGAAGGGGTCTTGAGGCGGACATAGGAGCATCGCCATTACATATAGGTGACATAGGTGTTGCATAGTAAGGAACAATTTTTATGTAAATGTTATATCACTGTTACATAACTGATATGGCGCTGTAACATTACAGTTACATAACTATGATAAAACACTGTTACATCACAGTTACATACCCAGGAAGGCGTCTTGAGGCGGACATAGGAGCATTGCCATTACATATAGGTGACATAGCTGTTGCATAGTAAGGAACAATTTTTATGTAAATGTTATATCACTGTGACATGATTTGGTTTGCTGGGCATAAACAATATAAATATCTTTAAAAGAAAACTGCACCAGTTTTTAATTCAAAAATCTTTTTACAGTGTTGGGGAATACTTAAATATGTAATTAAAAATATTCGTTTTTTTGTTTTAATTTAGTCTTAATATTGTGTAATTATTACTATGTAACCTGGACTAGTCCAATACCTTTGTAGGTCATTTGTGGACAATAAATTACTTTACTTTACTATCCTTCCTTGAGTTATTTGCTATAGGTCGACCGAGATCTCAATAGGAGAAATGTAAAAGTTATGGTGTGTCTATAAGTAATTTCCTATAAATTTTTTATCGGGCCGTATCCGGAAAAAACCATGGAAAAAAACACATATTGAGTCCGTTAGCGCCCGATAGATTATTTTTATGGGTCTCTATGGGGTATTTTAAGCAGGGTTGGGAAAAGCTTTAATTTTAAAAGAAATTATTTAAGCATTTACTATTTGTTTATTAAACAAATGGTAAATTTTGAAAAAATAAGCTTTGAAAAGAATAACAAACATTCTAAAATTCATTATGCGGAAACTACTAAATCGAATAATTTGAGATATACGGGAGCTTACGATCAAGAAAAAAAATTTTAAGTAACTTATTTAAAAATTAATCCTTTTTCGACTTTTTATGATGGTGATACATCTGGAATCAGAGTTAAGTTCGTAAATATTTTGTCCATAGGCTTCTACATAAACCCTGAAAATTTCAAATGATTCAGCACATTCTGCATGATAAACTAAAAAAATATATTTTTCAAATTTTTTTTGCAAAAAAAAATTTAAAAAGTTTATTTGAAAAACCTCTTCATGTACCCTCTAGAGATGCGTAAGCGATACTTATTTAAAAAAAAGATTTTCGCCAGATTGTGAAAATTAATGGGAAAAGTTACTGGGACATTTTGAGTTTTGCCAATAATTTTCAATATGAAGTTTATATTATTTTTTAACTCAAGTTGCACCAAATAGACAGTATAAAAATATACTTTTATAAATAAAATGCGGTAAAAAAACCCTATTTTAAAAAATGCCCATATGGTGCCTTGCAAAAAATCCAGTTTTAATTTAATTATTAATAATTCCAACTGGGAAGATTTTCCCGAAAATAAATTTACAGGTTTTACAGAAAATGGCCTGCCTTTTAAATAGAAATAAAACATATTTTAGACAATACAATTTAATTATTAAAATTTAATACTTTATAAAAACTAGGCATAAATGTTTTATTATAAAAACAAAATTTATTAAAATGCAATTCATTAAATTCAGAAGGTACAGCAGCTATTATAGCTATTATAATAATACTAAACAATTATTGAAAATGATGATTGTTGTGTTTACAGAGCTCCAACAAGTCACTGTGCAGTTCCTGAGAATTAGAGAACCTGTCTACCCAAGATTGCAGGAATCCCTCCAAACTGGGCTCATAAGTAACCAATTTAACACTATCATTTTCTAATACTGTGTTACACTGTACAAAAATCTTTCTGGGCTGTTTGTTCGCCAAAACTATCGACCTCCAACTTGTCCATGGCTCCGAAACTTCGTCAAATTCGTTATAAAGTGCTTTAGCTGCTTCAACATTTCCAGTGGCTTTGTAAATTTGCAGTTTTGTTAAGAAGTTGCCGATAGCTTTTTTGCCCTCGGTTTTCAGCAATGAACGGTCCAACGTCACTAATAAATCGTCCTTTTCAGGTTGAGTCACTTTGGCAACGCCAGCTTTAATGAGGACTCTAGCCAAAACAAAGCGGGCCTAAAAAATAAACAAGAATTAGTTTAATAATAATTAGTCCAGAAAACAAAGATTGTAGAAGGAAAACTCGTTTTATTTTTTTTATGTAGAGTCAGGGGTGCTGATAATGAATCAAGAATATTCCCCAAAAATTTCTTTCTGCGTCCCCTAATTTCATCCCCCGAAAGGGGAGTTTTTTTGCTTTTTGGCTCATAATTCGCTAACCGTACATTTTTTCAAAATTTGTCCTTTAATACTTTTTATTATGTACTAAATAAGGCACACGTTAAACCCATTGCGCACCTATATGATGTTTTTCAAAAATTTAGTTTTGCAGGTACCCAAGTATAAATTTTTCGCTCCCGGCTCCGGGATCCGTACCAATCCCGGCTGACGTCATAGACAGCGGATGACGTTTACAGTTTCGTACAAATGACGTCAGCGGTAACCGGGAGAGAGGTGAATCCCGGCCGAAGCAATTTCGCGCGTTAAAATAGTTTGTCGTTGGCATAAATCTTGTGGATTGTTGTGAAGTTAAAAGTGTAATCGTGAATTGGAAAATGTAGGTACACTGAGAAAAAAGTTTATTGCTCCCAAATAAAAAAAATATTTAAATATGGGACAAGGGTACAGTTTATTTATCCTAAATATATTTTTATTCCCGACATATAAAGTTTTACTAAAGTATATTTATCGTTATTATTTCGACTATTTAGAGGTAATAAACAATATATTCACTATTAATAAAAGTATTAGCTACACAGTTTATTTGTCCCATTTTTTTCTCAGTGTATGTACTAGCACAAGTTTTTTATTCGTAGCGTTAATTACTGATATAATATCAGCGATATTGTACCTGAAAACTAGGTACCAACATAAATACTCTATGCAAAACGCGTCAAACCTTTTACCTATCTGCGTCGAAATCACTTTCCTGATATATCAGGAAATCAAAATGATATCAAATAGAGTAATTGCATCAAAAATGAAAATCCCTAAAAACCTTTTTATTGTAATCTAGAGGTAAAAACACATTGCGAAAGTATTTTTTTATATTCCAAAAGTTCAACCCGGCCCCAAAATATCAAATTGAAAAAAAGGTACTTTTCAAACGTTTCCGAACTCCCGCCATATTGCATGACGTCATAAGCCACAGCTGTCAGAAATCAAGATGTCAACAAATAATAAACACCGATAAAGTTTATGTTTAACATGGAAAACGCGAAACCAAAAATTGGTTGTAAATATTGTTTTGTGCCTTGTTGGACAAATACAACCTGGAAAACTCCTGGGAAAGTTGTCCCTTTAATTATCAAAAGCAAAGTTTATGACCCTACACAGAGTAGTTACGGCTCAGCCGTATTTTCTTGAGTTTATTAATATTTAATATACCTATTCAAACCATATAGGTACCTAGTAAACGACATTTTATTTTACTTACATTAAAATGATCCTTAAAATGAGCAATAAAATGTTGACTGCGGTGACGATGTTTTGATATCGCGCCGAGCTATTTTAATCCACTTTAGCCTTATTTTCCCTTTTGGCACGGTGATAAACCTTTTCCCAGGAGTTTTCCAGGTTGTATTTGTACAACAAGGCACAAAACAATATTTACAACCAATTTTTGGTTTCGCGTTTTCCATGTTAAACATAAACTTTATCGGTGTTTATTATTTGTTGACATCTTGATTTCTGACAGCTGTGGCTTGTGACGTCATGCAATATGGCGGGAGTTCGGAAACGTTTAAAAAGTACCTTTTTTTCAATTTGATATTTTGGGGCCGGGTTGAACTTTTGGAATATAAAAAAATACTTTCGCAATGTGTTTTTACCTCTAGATTACAATAAAAAGGTTTTTAGGGATTTTCATTTTTGATGCAATTACTCTATTGCATACATCCAATATTAAATGTTAAAATGGCATTAATTGTATGTAAAAATTACATCAGTATGACATTTCATTCTGACATTAGTATGTTATGTCATTATGATATCAGTTAAATATCATTATTTTAATATCCGTTACTAAATATTAAATTTATATCAATTTTATGTTTAAATAACAACAGTATGATATGTCATTCTGACATTGGTATGATATGTCATTATGACATCATTTAGATATCATTATTTTAATATCCGCCAGTAGATGGTAAAATGGCATCAGTATGATATCTCATGTTGGCATTATTATGATAGGCCATTTTGCTATAATTCTTTGATCATCTATGCAGCCATTGCAATTGCTTTAATGGCTGCATACAAATTTTGATCATCGATTAATGATTATATATATATATATATATATATATATATATATATATACAGGGTGTTTCTTTTAACTTGAGACAGCTCAATATCTCGAGAAATACGCATTTCACGGAAAAATGTCTTAAATAAAAGGTTAATGTGACTAAAGGGGACATTATTTGGTGTTACTGCTAGCCACCCCCTACCCCTCCTTAAGGGTGAAACGGGGGGTAACTTTGGAAAGTCAAACGGAATGACCCGATTTTTTTCACAGAGTTTGGTAGTACATAAAAAAATAAATAACTTTTTTAGTCGACCTTAACTATAAAGGGGATTTTTAGTACTCAAAAGCGGCCGAAAAATAACACTTTTTCGTCCGCCTTCATTATTGTCCGCCTTTGGTGGCGCCATCTATCGGTTATTTTACATACTACATAATGATATTGACATTACCCACAATGTCAAAATAGAATTTTGAATAAAACCAAATAAACAAACTGTAAAGTGTAATAAAAACGTGTCAGTATTCTAATTTTATAATAATTATTGTCAACAAACATGTCCAGCAGTGACAAGAGAAATGTAGAAATGTTCAACATCCCTCCTGATATAACAAACGAAGCCAACGCTGCTAGGTTAGAATTGCTGCCTAAAAAATCGGCAGAACTTTACGAGAAACATTATAATATCTTCATGCAGTGGTGTAACAATAAGAAAATTAACAAATACAGTGAAAACATAGTGAAATAATAGTGAAACACAGTGAAATAATTATTATATCAATAAATCATAAAAATAAATACGATTTTTTAAGTTTTCTAATGAAGGTCGACTAAAAAATTTTGTGTGCACCACTGCCAAAAAGTGCTATTTTGTCCTCGCCTTCTTTCTGGCCTCGGCTAACGCCTCGGCCATTAAATTTAGACTCGGACGAAAATAAGTCACTTTTTGGCCTTGGTACACAAATAACTATTATTTAAAACTTTTTTCAATTTATCAACAGATGGCGCTGTAATTCAAAATTTAAGAAAAATGAGTTTCCTTGTAAAATGTATTGTTTGAAACGTTTGAAAAACAAAAATTAACATTAACAACAATAGTCGGCTATGAAAACAATTTATAACAAATGTTCGAAATGTCGTCCTTCCATTTCGACACCAAGTGGAGCACCAGCGTAATACATTTTACAAGGGAACCCCTTTTTCTTAAATTTTGAATTACAGCGCCATCTGTTGATAAATTGAAAAAAACTTTCAAATAAAAGTTATTCATTTTTTTATGTACTACCAAAATCTATGAAAAAAATCCCCGTTTCACACTTAAGGAGGGGTAGGGGGTGGCTAGCTGTAGCACCAAATAATGTCCCCTTTGGTCACATTAACCTTTTATTTAAGACATTTTTCCGGGAAATGCATATTTCTCGAGATATTGAGCTGTCTCAAGTTAAAAGAAACACCCTGTATATATATATATATATATTTAATAATAATTATATTAAGTATAATGTTGATTAATGTGGAAAATATTTAAGAAAACCAAAAAACCCAAACAACTGACACCTGTTTAAAAAACAGATATAACAAAAAAATTAAGCTATTAGTGAGTGACCAAGTAAATTTAGTTTTAAATATATTTTTAGCACGTTATTTAAATAATGGTAAGTTGAATTCATTTATTATTACTTTGAGGCTAATATATTGATTCTTTAGGTATACATAGGTTCAGGTATAGATTATCATCATTCCACGGCTGAGACAGGTTCCAGTTTGGAGGAGAATAGTACAGATCATGAGAATAAAATTTCAAATACCGGGGGCTCCACAGGGAAGATGATGAAAATACATGAGAAAATAAAGTGGATAAACATGAATACCGAATTTGATGAAGTGGATAAGTAAAATAAGTTAATTTATGACTAAATTGCAATATTCCAAGAAAGAAGAACTAAACTTTAATTTTGATTCCAAATTTGCCAAAATTTGCCAAAATCACCAAACACATTCTTAGCAAGTTGAGCAAATTTTAATATAATAACGATTGAGAATAATTAAAAAAAAATGATCCAGTATTATGTAATACAGTGTGTATCAGCCAAATGGAATAAATTCGATAAAACATAAATGGAGGCGTGTTCCAAAAAACGCTCGGACACGTCGATAGATATTTTTATAGTTGAGCATGTTTTTCAATAAATACTTTTTGTCCAGGGTGTGTTATGTAGCAGTGGCCAAAAACAACTTTCTTATTTCAAATGCAACATCCTGTATATTATTAAATTTTTGGATCGGTTGAAACGCGGTAAATAATTATTTTTTAGCCTACAACAATAAAGTTTAAATTATACACCAATTAAACATAAAATTTTAAAAACATTAGGTATAACAAAATTAGGTTATAAAAGCACAATGGATTGTGAATAAAACATAATTATGTTTTATTCACAATCCATTGTGCTTTTATTGAGGTTTTTATTTAGGTACCTTTCCATATTTAAATTAAATATCTCATTAAGTATAAATAAAAAACATTTTGCAAAATAAACTTTATAAAATAACCCTTTAATTTAAATAACACATAAAACAATATAAAATATTAAAATTATTGCACAATAATTATTAAGATTTTTTTATTGTTATAATAATAGAATAAAACATCTTAATGTATGGAATATATCAAGTAAAAATATGCTAATAATTATTATAAGGATGATTTTACTATATATATTCGATCTGAACTTAGTTTTTTGCCTTTCCTGTTTTTCATTTGAATCAGTAACTTAGATTCTATTATCATTTTTGTCCCAAAAATGCTGTGGACTTAAAATGTTTTAGGTAATTAATTTAAAATCTACATGACTTTTTGGTTTATGTTTGGTTTTATTATTTTTAATCGTATGCATGACTGGATAATTTCCGTAAAAATAGGTAGGGGTAAAACTTTGATTCCCATATTTTTACAATCCAGCATTGCTTTTATTTTTGATTTTGTTTTATTAAATTATAACTTCTTTTATATATTCCAAAATAATCCAGTAATTGTTTTAAGGACAATTGTTTATCTTCAATAATTGTATAAAGGGACTCTTTTATAAATGACTTAGGTACTTGTTGTAGTGGCTCCACTTAATTTGAATATATTTTTTAAATATATCGGCACTCGTATTCTCTCTTCAAATAAAGAAAATATTTTTTCTAATTTCCAAGGCATGTTTAAAACTAAAGTTAAAAAAGTGCGTTAAAACATTAGGTATCATCAATATACTTATTATCAAAACTATTTAAGAATTTATAATAATTTAAATTAATTTAAAAAAAAACGGAATAAAATACGAATTTTCGGTCAAATTAAATCTACCGGTATTATACCGCGGTATTCATATAATAGATGACGCGCACCGTTATGCACAAAATGTGCATATTATGTATTACGTATAACTCAAAGTATAACGTGGTATTTCTTTGTATTAGTATCACGTGATATTACTTGGTATTACATCCAATTTGTACTCCTATTACTCCGGTTGTTTACCCCTCGCCTTAGTGTTTTAAACTCGTCAACCACATCTTACTAGTGATGGGTCGTGATTTTGGTAACGTGATTTTGGAACGTTATTTTTAAATCACGTTCCGGAACGTTCCTAAATATATCGGAACTATGTGACAGCGGAACGAACTGAATAGAAACAAAGAATCCGACCATCGAATGAGTGAACGGAGCGAGTGGGAAGGGAACGACGTGAAACATGGAACAGAACGAACGTCGCTAATGTCGGAACTGTTTAAAGGCGCAGTTACCTCGTTTCGAAACGTTTCTTGTTCGACTTTTGCGGCGCCGATTTCTGCTGAACTATATCGGTGCATATAACCAATATAACTAGGCGGGTGGAATCGTTCCGCTGAAACGGTGCATAAAAAATAGATAGACAAAACATTCAAGGAATCAACAGGTTTTTGTGTATTAAAGGGGTCCCTAGACGTTCAAAAAATATTTTTGCTTAATATTACTGCACAAAAAATTAATTATTGTCTCTATAGAGACAATATATATAAATAAATTAAGCAATATTGTCAACACACTGTTAACTATATTGCTTAATACAACATATTTTGCAATAATATTGATAGTGTAGGGACCTCCTTAAACCTTATAGTGTATAGCAAAAGTAACAAACAGTAGCAGCCATAGAATAATATTGAATTATGAATGGTCTTTATTCAATAGCAAGAAAAATAAATACAAGTTACAATATTTAATTTTTGTATTAAATTTGTTATGGTGCGGTCAACAGAACTAAGAGGTGCGCCAGACAAAATGCAGTCGAGTCAACGCCGCTGCCGGGACGTTTCTCCCAGCAACGCGTTGCAACGTCGTGTCGTACTCGCATGTATTGTGAAATCATTTACCCTACGTTCCGAAATCACGTGATTTTGGTACGTGATTTTTTAGGAACGGAACGGTCTGGTACGTTCCGGATTGGGAACCGTTTTTTCCATCACTACATCTTACAGTGACCGCCATTTTGGATTAATTTATTTTTATGATAAAGAGTAGACACGCTTATACGTAGTTTTGTGGTGTAAGAAATTAGTGTCTGTATTTAAGTAAAATTCTATATCTCTTTTACTTATGCGCAGCAACTAATTTCTTATGCCACAAAACTCTACGTTCACGCGTCCCCACTCTCACTTAATAAGAAAAATTGTGTTTTTTAGAGCTGAAAACATAACTTACCTGGGCATGTGCTTGTAGCCAACCTCTACCAGGTTCGTACAACTCGAGCCCCCTGCCGGCGCCAGCGTACACCAACGACAACCAGTTGGCGTAGACCACGTCATCGGCGTTCTGTCCCTCGTGTCCGAAAATCTTGAGGACCTCTTCGTTAAGACTGAGGTAAAGACCGACGGCTTCAGCCCGGCATTCTTCGTAGGTGGAGCTGAGCGGGCCGAAGCGGGTGTCGTAGGTGTCGCCGGGTTCGTACCACGAGGCTGGCGCATCACCGGTTACTGGGTCCACCAGGTCGGGCGTGAAGTTAAATTCACCCTCGGCGTTTTTGGTGAGTAGTTTGCCGGAACCGTGGCCCAAAAGTTCGTGGAGACCCACCTTAAAGATATAAATACAATGAAAGTGTGTATGTAACATTGCTATTAGATATTTTATATTAGTTTAAAATATAAACTTAAAATAACCCCTCCTACAGCGTGGTAAACCGTTAGTGCGCCATTTTCTGGACAAAGTTGTTAAAAACTGTAGAAATTTTTCTTAAATTGTCAGCTAATGAAAAGCAGGTGTCTTTTCAAACATAGCAAGTAAACACAATTTCTCCAACACCCTAAATATGTTATGAGTTATTTGTGTTTGGCTGTTTATGAAATATACTAATATTTTTACTTTTTTATACCCTTTGTAATCTGTCACTTAATGTTTTTTTTAATTTTAAGTTGTAAATTAAAGCAATTATCTATACTTACATACAAATATAAATAAAATTGAAGAGTTAAAATGTTTGTCTGGGCTAATCTCCGGCTGAATCGATTTTGACGGGACTTTCATTGGCCGGTAGAGAGCTTTTCAGAGAGCAATATAGGCTATTTTTATTGAGTTACTGCTTCTACCTCAAAGGGTCATTAGCAGGTGTCAACATAAGACATAATTAGTAATACATGGTAGGTATAGTAGTACTATAGTAGTATAAATATATATAAAGTAGTATATATTAAATCTTGTTCAGTATATTTAGAAGGCGCAAGTCATTTAGAAGCTTGGTGGTATCTTTGATGTCTCCCCCAATCATATCACTTAAGGTGGATGGTAGTTGGCATTCTTATCTTAGATCCTTTAATAAAGGGCATTCTATTAAAATGTGTTTAATGGACAAAGGCAGTGATTACATTCAGGTGGTTCTTCACCCTTTAGTATGTGTTCGTGGGTATATTCGGTGTGTCCTATTTTCAGTCTAGTTAAAATAATGTCTTCTTTTCTGTTTTTCGTAGAAGGCCAAAATAAGGTTGAAGGCTTTATTTCCCGTAGCTTTGCATCCCCTTGCTCTCAAATACGTTGCCATACTTAAGTGGTTTTTTGTATGATGTGTGTTTTTAAATCAGCGGCTGTTATTTTTTGTTCCATGCAAGCCTTATTAGTAACTGCACGGGCTGCGGCTTGGTCTGCTAGTTCATTGCCTTTTATAGCAATATGGGATGGTACTCATATGAAAATAGCTTCATTATTCTGAATTTGGATATTATACAGTTCTTGCTTTACCAGTTTTACTAAGTTGTTTTTAGGATATAGTTGTTTTAACGCCTCTACTTGAGTAAGTGTGTCTGTTAATATGAGTGAATTTTTTTCTTTCTATTATATGTTTTAATTCTTCCCATATAGCATACATCCTGTAAATATGCTGCATAGTTTGGAAATGTTAAAGGTTTGTTTAGTATTAGCAGTGACAAATGCAGCTCCCCCTCCTTGATTCGATTTGTAAGCATCTGCATAAACTTGGACATACTCAGGATATTTGCCAATATTTCATTAAGGTGTACATGAATGATGGAATGTGGTGTTTGAGTTTTATCATATTTTGTTAGTGATGTGTTTATAGTTCTTGCTACAGTATCGCTTGTACTAGTCAGACGTATATTTCTATCGCTTCACAAACGATACAAATAACCAGTGGATTTTAAATCCAGAATACCTAAAAGGTAATTATTCTATAAGTTTTTGATCAACAATGTATAGTTCCGCGAATCCCAAGGTGCATAATCAACTCATCGACTAGGAATAAAGTGCAAAGTGTATAGTGTCACCCCAACCATCCACCTGTTCAATGTGGTAGGAAATTGATATCAATCAGAGGAAACAAGGGGCATCCGCAAAATTTTCGGATAAGTATTTTATTAATATTTGCACGTCACTATTCGTAATACTAAGAACTTGTAATTACGTAATTCTCAAGTAGAAAAATCCGTAGGAACAACAAAAGTACATAAAAAAATAACAACCAAAATAGGTGAACAGGGAACAACAAACCATCGTATTAGACCAAAAAATACCTATAGGTATTTTATATATGCCTAAACTGCAAAGAAAGTTCGATAATAAACCCACAAATCTTAAGTAACACAAGAAACCAATTACTGATCGTCTAACATAAACATAAACAAATAAACCTAAGTACTACTAAGTACACGAACAATAACGACCAAAACGTAGACCAAGACATAGCCTATACAGCAAAATAACAACTCCCGAACATACAGTAATCCCAAATGTTTGGAGTAATACTAACTGCCTGGTGTAGGGGGGTACCGCGTCGTACTAAGATTTGAGTCGGCGTAATTGTCTCCCTCCTTTATGACTAGGGTTGGGACAGTTGAAATTTTCAAATGAAAATTTCAACTTCGAAAGTTTCAAACTTGAAATATTTCATTTAGTTGGAAAATTGAAATTTTTAAAAATTTCAAATGAGTCAAACCACGTCAAGTGGGACCAGAAAATTTCACGAAATCACCGATTTTAAAAATAATCACATTATTGTGTAGTAGGCATGACTCATATGTCACAGTAAAAAAATTGTTTTAAAATTCGTTTTTTTGGTAATGTTATTAAGGTTGACAATTTTGTCAAACTTTAGAGCACGGTAAAATTGAAAAAATAGAATCTCTGGGACCACTCTGTATAATTGAATTAAATTTTACACACTATTGTAGAAATGTTTAGAGTATATAATGATCATTTAATTAAGGTTAATTTGTTTAAATAAAAGAATTTTGCATACATTTATTATAAACAATTGAAATTTTGTATGTGTTCTTCACGCTGAAAAAAAATTAATCTTGTGTCATAATATGCGGCAAACGTTTCCGTTTAATAAGATGTACTCAAAAATTTGCCTTTCATATGTCATTCCGGAGATATTAATTTTTTTGTCCCGCTATGCGCTTGATCAGTACGCGGCGCGCTTTGCTGCTAGCTCGTCAGCACACGCGTGTGCTGACGAGCTAGCAGTAAAGCGCGCCGCGGTGTGCCTGAACGAAGTTTAAGTCACATAAAAATTCCGCAGTTTCTTGTTCGGGACCCTTTGGTGACTTAAAAATGATATTTACCAAAATCCTAGCTGCTCCTCTTTTCGAAATTTTTTGAAAAATCTTTTTTCTGCATTATGCTTTTTACTATATAAAAAAGTGATTTTTGTCTAACCCTGTATAAATCGAAGCATATATATAAAAACAGTTTCTCTCGTTTACAATATCGGTGTACAAATGTGTACTCTGGCAAAGGTAGACTTTGCTATAAACAAATAATTTTAAAAAAATTGAATTTTTTACAAATTAAAAAAAACAGTTAGAATTTTGGTAAATATATTTTTTAACTTCAACCAATTTTTCGTTCAAAATTGAAAACTACTAAAAAGCCTAAATTAAACAACATTTTAAATACTCTCTAAGCGTTATTTTATTAAATGTTATTACAAATCTATTTTTCTTGTAAAAGGTTAATAATAATGCCATTTTGTAACATGATAGACCTAGAAATATCTAAAAAAAAAATTGGGAATAAATATTTTTCGCGTGGTATGCTAAAATCATGAATTTACGCTTTTGCATTATTAAAAATAAGTGATTTTTGGCTAACCCTGTATATATCAAATGATGTGAACAGTATTAAAAAATATTCTCTAAGTCTCCTAAATAATATACTCCAACTTTATAAAAATCTGTGTGCAAATGTGTACTCTGTCAAAGAGATAAACAAAAATTTAAAAAAAAATCATGACTTTTCGAACAATTTCGAAAAGAGGAGCAGCTAGAACTTTGGTAAATATCATTTTTAAGTCAGCAAAGGGTCCCGAACAAGAAACTACAATCAGTTTTTGGCGGCATTTTTATGTGACTTAAACTTCGTTCTGGCACACCGTTAAACCGTTCGAAGGGACGAGCTAGCAGCGAAGCGCGCCGCGTACTGATCAAGCGCACAGCCGGACAAAAAAATTAATATCTCCGGAATGACATATGAAAGGCAAATTTTTGAGTACATCTTATTAAACGGAAACGTTTGCCGCATATTATGACACAAGAATAATTTTTTTTCAGCGTGAAGAACACATACAAAATTTTAATTGTTTATAATAAATGTATGCAAAATTCTTTTATTTAAACAAATTAACCTTAATTAAATGATCATTTTATACTCTAAACATTTCTACAATAGTGTGTAAAATTTAATTCAATTATACAGAGTGGTCCCAGAGATTCTATTTTTTCAATTTTACCGTGCTCTAAAGTTTGACAAAATTGTCAACCTTAATAACATTACCAAAAAAAACGAATTTTAAAACAATTTTTTTACTGTGACATATGAGTCATGCCTACTACACAATAATGTGATTATTTTCAAAATCGGTGATTTCGTGAAATTTTCTGGTCCCACTTGACGTGGTTTGACTCAAATGAAATTTTCAATCCGAAAATTTCAAAATTGCCTGTGAAACTTTCAGAAATTTCATTGAAAGTTTCGCAATTTACTGAAAATTTCTCATAAATTTCACATGCGGCCTCCCCTGGGACCTTTAATAATAATTTACAACAGATTCCGAATCAACCAATAAGAACAAGTTATCAAGTGTCTGGGCGTTTTTGTTTAGTTCGGCTTAGATTTGAATACACTATAAGGTAATTATTGTTACTTATATGCATAAATTAATTTAAATAATTTAATTCAGTAACCAATTTAATTTGTAAATTAAATCAGACTTTAAAATTTTTTTAAAAGTCATGATTAATTTAAACTTTTACTTTTGCTATAATTGCATCGGAAAACGGATTAAAAATGCCTTTGGCTCATAAAATTTTGATGAAGTTTCTTAAATTTTTGTAAAATTTCAGTAAAATATATAAAAATAATAAACATATATAAATATAAAACAATGAAAGTGGCACAATCTCATTAGCTTACCAAAAAGTGCTATATCTCTTAGTTTTAGTAATTTTAAAAATATTTTAAAAGGAAATCTCAAGAAATTTGTGGTAAACATAGGTATTTACTATTTATATTATTGGTGCAGGGGCCCACAGAGGGGTAGGAGGTAAGAGAGGCAATTTGCCATGGTCACCGAGTGGGCTTATTTCAATATTACACTTTTTTCATAAATTTCATAAACATTTTAATAAATTTCATAAATGTCGTGAAAATTTCAAGTGAAATTTCAAGTACAAGCAAAAAGTGAAATTTTCCCAACCCTATTTATGACCCTACTTGGCGAACCCAGGAATGGCTACTAAAACTATTGGCATTTCGCTCTTGAGCCCTAATTAGGGGACAGTACGTGACGCAATGGACATTCGCACCCAGCAAATACGGGTGAAGCCGTGCCGTTGCTGGTGGCAAAAGAAAATCGGCGAAAGGAAACAGAGGCCTATGCGGGGCCCGGCGCGATGAGGCAATGGGGCCGGTTATACGTCTTATATACTCATACTCATGTGTTTATAGTTGGTGGCCTAATATTCCAAGCTGGTTAAGAGCTGAGGCAAACTGGTTATATTAGTTAGTGTTAGTTATATTCGTTAATTCGTTGGTAAAATGGATGATTTAGTCTATGCTTACTGCAAAAGGTGGTCTGGAATCTGTCTGAGAAGGTCAGGTTTTTCAGAGGGTGTTTTGAATTTTCCTTTATTTGAATTGCATAGGTTAGACTAAGTCGGGATCTTCTAATATTTAGTGGTGGTTCTTCACAAATTGTATATATGCTATTACCTGGTCTGGTATAAAAAGCACCAGTTGCGAGTCTTGGGGCTGTGTTGTGTATGGGGTCAAGTTGTTTTAAGTTAGATGACTTTACTGTAGCGTATATTATTGAACCATAATCTAGTTTGACTTTACTGTAGCGTATATTATTGAACCATAATCTAGTTTACGCTTCTATAAAGTATTCATAATGTTTCCTTGTCAGATCCCCAATTTTATCTGGTTAGCATGTGCATGATGTTCATTCATTTTTTTATATGAGATTTTCCAGCACATTTTTTGGTCAATAGTCATTCTCAAGAATCTTATTTCTTTTACTTGTTCTATTTCAACTTTATAAAGTTTTAGGTTTAAGTTTGGATGAATAATTCGTTTTGAGAAAATAATATATTTGCGGCGTATAAAATATATATGTACAATATGTCAAAAAGGCATGTAAGTACATTGTACATGCCTTTTTACATTTTAATTTTGTGGCATTGTTAAATTTTGACCCTTTGACATTTGACTTTTTCCAAAAATTCCCAGAACCTGGGAAATCCACAGAATCTATATAGTTTTATTTATTTTTCAAAAAAATATGTTTGTTTTTATTTATCCACACGAACTTTTTTTTATTTTTGAAAAAAAAACTTTTTTTGCCACAAACCTTGTCAAATGAAAAAAATACGCCCAACATCGTTTATAAAGAAGAATTAGAGTAACTATTTCTATTTTATTTTATAAAGTAGATAAAATATATTCTTTAAGTTAAATGGATTTTTAAATTGCACCTTTAAAATCCGTATTTCAGTTTTTGTTAAAAGAATGGTCTAAATTTTTTTCTTAATATTCGTTAAACGACTTACGATTTTTGTTCGTTAAATAGTTTAATGTTTTAACTTAAAAGTAAATTTACTTTAAAAATAAAAATATATTTTTTAAAATGTAAATAAAGGGGTAATAAGCAAAACGGTAAAAGTGCATATTACCCAGATAGCAAACGTGAATACGAAATCACGCGTGAGTGAATAATGTGTGCTATATGATTTCACACGTGAAGTCTTGAACTCGTAATTCACACGTGAGTAGATTATGAATTCATATTATAGTCTCGTGTGATTTAATCGATTTTATTTTAAAATACATGGATTGCATGATTAAAAACTGCACGTTTAAATATAAATAGAATATTAATATTCTAATATCAAAAATATTATATTAATATATTTTCATTTAATATTGTATGTCATTATAATAAATTATAATTATCTCTGGTAACACCCTCCCTTTCCCCATGTCATAAGACATTTTCAGTCACAATCTTTATTTTAAATGTTTTAAAATACACAAATTAATTATTATATGTATTAAATTAATACTATTAATTATATAATATAAGTAGTTATATTATACAATTATATATTATAATATATATCAGTGGCGGATTGGGGATTTTGGGTATACCAATATCTCAGTTATTAGACATGGGACCCACACCAAATTTATAATAGTTTATTATGACATTAAATAGACAAGTTCGGCGCAAACAGAATTTAAATTGAAGTTTGCGCAAAAAAGTTAGTTTTTTGTGTCGCCTCACCTGGCTTCTGGCCCCCCCATTTGAGATACTTAATTCAAATTAAAGTTGTGCAATTTATACTTCACTATAATTTATCGGTAAATTTAAAATTTTATTTGAAAAATCCAAATATTACAGATTTTATACCATATTAAATATTTTTTTATTATAATAAAATAAATAATAAAAATTTTAAATCGTATAAAATCTGTAATATTTATATTTTTTAAATAAAATTTTAAATTTGTCGATAAATTATAGTGGAGTATAAATTGCACCACTTTAATTTGAATTATCCCAAATGGGGGGGCCAGAAGCCAGGTAAGGCGACACAAAAAACTAATTTTTTTTCGCAAACTTTAATTTAAATTCTGTTTGCGCAGAACTTGCCTATTTAATGTCATTATAAACTATTATAAATTTGGAGGGGGTCCCACGTCTAATAAGTGAGATATTGGTATACCCAAAATCCCCAATCCGACACTGATATATATTATTATAATTATATATATATAATTATATATATATAATTATATATATTATAGTAATTACATAATATATATTGGTTTAAAAGGTCACAATTATATGTTATAGGTACATTAATAATTAATATATGTATATTATATATTAATTAATTAATTAGTTAACCTTAAGGTTATAATTGTAATGTATAACCTATAAATGAGGAGCAATCAACCAAAACCAGATAAATCCATTTTGACTTCTTGAATGATTCATATTTCTTTTAGTCGGATAAATCAATTGGAAAAGTGAATTTCAAGATAAACTTATTATAATAATATATATATTATATACTAATATTAATATTAGTATATAATATAATAATTATTATATAATATTAATATTAATATTATGATCATATCATATTATGATAACAGGTTTAGCTTGAAATAGATATTTCCAATGGATTTATCTGGTTTAGTCTGATTGCTTCTCAATTATGGCCTTTTAAACCAAGTTTTTGTGTATTTTTTTAAGGTGTTAAAATAAATATTTCGACAGATTAAATTATTTTGAAAAATGAAATCTATATTCTAAAAGCGCATGCGCAAAAAATAAAAAGTTCACGCGTGATGGCAAATTGAGCATCAATTGAGGACTCATCTGTCGCGTTATATGAATTCACGCGTGAATTTAATTTTCACGCGTGAATTCGTAGTGAATTCATAGTGAATTCATTTTGCTATCTGGGTTAGCAAGAAAATAAGTTAAGTGCAGAATTGGGTAGTTTTTTTAATTTTCCCATAACGTCTGCATGTTGATTAATGCAAACATTGAAACAAGTATCCAGATTTTTGTATATATAGCAAAAACTTTAGTTAATAACTCCACTTCTCTTTTTTGCACTTGTACCCTTTTGCTTCTTACCCCTTTAAATGTAATTACATGTAACTAACAATTGTGAAATTTAATAATAAAATTTATTTCACTCGTTTTATTTTAAAACTTACTTGTAATTCAAAAGCGGTAACTCTCCATTTTTGCAAAATATCAGCGTCTTCTTGAGTCAAAAAAGGAGTTTTAGACATCTGATAACTTGCAGGTATAACATTTCCTAAAGATACGTTTTTAAAACCCTCTGTTTGTCGTATGTCATCATCTAACAATACAAAACACATTGTTTAAAATAAACTATAAATAATACAAAAAACACTGTTTTCTTACAGTTGGGTATGTTGATACCAGCAGGTATGCCACTTCCAGCAAATGTAACAACATCCAGGGATGTAAAATCTGGTTTCAAAAACTTATCCTTTTCAAAACCTTTACCCCAAGGTAAGAGGGTGAGGAAATGTTCAGCATTTGACACCAATGTAGTAAATTTAGCGGACATTTCTCTATTAACGGCTGCCACAAATCCTTCAAATTCGCCTCTAATACCAGCAGGATCCCTAAAAGAAAATAATTTTATATATAATATAAAAGTATACAGTAGGGTGATTCATTTCCGTTTTTGTTTTCTTCGGTGCTCAAGCAAAATATTAATCTACATATAGAAAAAAAAATCTCAACTAGTTTGAGCTCTTAATATAAATTTTAAGTACTTACTATTTAAATTTAAAATGGTACCGTTTAAAATGCATGTAAAAAATATATATTTTTTTTCAAATTTCTAATGCTTACCCACCTTTGACAATATTGCAAATCGGTTTAATACACCTTATGGGGAATTTCACGCTCTTTAAAATTGCTTTTGAGTTTTTTTTTGTAACTCGCATTGGTTCACCAGTAGGAGTCGTCAAAGGACAGTTTTTCAAAAAAATCGTTTTTTTTTTTATTTTTTCTAATAAACCGCAAAAAGTAGTGAGAAAAAAGGGCTGAATCATAAAAAAAAGTTATCCAACCAATATTTAATGAATGTACAGTCATTTTTATAACTGAAAACGTAAGAAATTGATAATTACCAAATCATAATGTTATTTAGATTGATTTTTTCTATTTATTATCATTATATTTCCCTACATGAAGAAGTTTTTTAAAATTATTGATTTCTCACTTATAATGAATATGAAAACAACAGATAAATTCATGTATCCGCATTACAATGTACATATTGACTCTATCGAAAAGATACAAAGAAGATTTTTAAAACTGTTTTCCTACAGAATTGATCACGTCTATCCCGCTAGAGGATATGATCATAATATCCTATTATCTAGATTTAACTTTGAAACTCTTTTAGTTAGGCGCAAAGTTATAAGTTTAAAATTTTTGTGGAAACTTTTTAATAATCAGATTGACTCTAGTCCCATTTTAGGTTTTTTTTAATATTTTAATACCCCGCTTAGGAGCTCGAAATATGAAACTATTTTATTGTAGTTTTTCGAGAACAAACGTGCATTTGAAATCTCCAGTACAAGTAATGTGCAATAACTTTAATTCTATATGTGGTAACTGCGATTTGTTTAATTCAAGCATTAGGGAAATAGTTTCAAGTTTACTTGAACAATGATATATGTATGTATGTATTTGTTTATATGTGTATACGGGTATATATATATTAGGGTGATTCATTTCCACAAAGTTTTTGTTTTCTTCGGTGCTCAAGCAAAATATTAATCTGCATATAGAAAAAAAAATTCTCAACAAGTTTGAGCTCTTAATATCAATTTTAAGTACTTGCAGTTTAAATTTAAAGTTTTCCCATTTAAAAAGCATGTAAAAAAAATGTTTTTTTTTTCAAATTTCTAATGCTTACCCACCTTTGACAATATTGCAAATCGGTTTAATACACCTTATGGGGAATTTCACGCTCTTTAAAATTGCTTTTGAGTTTTTTTTTGTAACTCGCATTGGTTCACCAGTAGGAGTCGTCAAAGGACAGTTTTTGAAAAAAATCGTTTTTTTTTTTTAAATTTTTTCTAACAAACCGCAAAAAGTAGGGAGAAAAGTTTTTGTTTTCTTCGGTGCTCAAGCAAAATATTAATCTGCATATAGAAAAAAAAATTCTCAACAAGTTTGAGCTCTTAATATCAATTTTAAGTACTTGCAGTTTAAATTTAAAGTTTTCCCATTTAAAATGCATGTAATAAAAATGTTTTTTTTTTCAAATTTCTAATGCTTACCCACCTTTGACAATATTGCAAATCGGTTTAATACACCTTATGGGGAATTTCACGCTCTTTAAAATTGCTTTTGAGTTTTTTTTTGTAACTCGCATTGGTTCACCAGTAGGAGTCGTCAAAGGACAGTTTTTGAAAAAAATCGTTTTTTTTTTTTAAATTTTTTCTAACAAACCGCAAAAAGTAGGGAGAAAAGTTTTTGTTTTCTTCGGTGCTCAAGCAAAATATTAATCTGCATATAGAAAAAAAAATTCTCAACAAGTTTGAGCTCTTAATATAAATTTTAAGTACTTTAAATTTAAAGTTTTACCGTTTAAAATGCATGTAAAAAATATATTTTTTTTTTCAAATTTCTAATGCTTACCCACCTTTGACAATATTGCAAATCGGTTTAATACACCTTATGGGGAATTTCACGCTCATTAAAATTGCTTTTGAGTTTTTTTTTTGTAACTCGCATTGGTCCACCAGTAGGAGTCGTCAAAGGACAGTTTTTGAAAAAAATCGTTTTTTTTTTTAATTTTTTCTAACAAACCGCAAAAAGTAGGGAGAAAAAAAGGGCTGAATCATAAAAAAAAGTTATCCAACCAATATTTAATGAATTTACAGCCATTTTTATAACTGAAAACGTAAGAAATTGATAATTACCAACTCATAATGTTATTTAGATTGATTTTTTCTATTTAGGGAAATATAATATAATAAATAGAAAAAATCAATCTAAATAACATTATGGGTTGGTATTTATCAATTTCTTACGTTTTCAGTTACGTTTATCTGTTGTTTTCATATTCATTATAAGTGAGAAATCAATAATTTTAAAAAACTTCTTCATGTAGGGAAATATAATGATAATAAATAGAAAAAATCAATCTAAATAACATTATGATTTGGTAATTATCAATTTCTTACGTTTTCAGTTATAAAAATGGCAGTAAATTCATTAAATATTGGTTGGATAACTTTTTTTTTATGAATCAGCCCTTTTTTCTCACTACTTTTGGCAATTTGCTCGAAAAAATAAAAAAAAAAACGATTTTTTTCAAAAACTGTCCTTTGACGACTCCTACTGGTGAACCAATGCGAGTTACAAAAAAAAACTCAAAAGCAATTTTAAAGAGCGTGAAATTCCCCATAAGGTGTATTAAACCGATTTGCAATATTGTCAAAGGTGGGTAAGCATTAGAAATTTGAAAAAAAAAACATTTTTTTTACATGCATTTTAAATGGGAAAACTTTAAATTTAAACTGCAAGTACTTAAAATTGATATTAAGAGCTCTACCTTGGTGAAATTTTTTTTTTCTATAGGTAGATTAATATTTTGCCTGAGCACCGAAAAAAAACAAAAACTTTGCGGAAATGAATCACCCTAATATATATGTATATATATATATATATTCTATTGTTATAATATTGTTTAATTTTCTTTATTTTTTCCTTATTGTTAAGCTTAGGCATATTAAATATTACTAATGTTGTTATAAATACATATTTTGTCCTGTAATTGGAATATTATATTCTGTTGGGCAATAAATTATTATTATTAAATTATTATTATTATTATTATTATTATATAAAAAAACAATAAGAAAATTACAACGTGGATTTTGCAATTTTTCAACATTTCTGTCATATAGCAAAAAAATATAAATGAAGATTATTTAATTTTTTGAAGCGAAATTTGAAATATGTTACATAACCTTCTGTATATTCCGATTAAAGTTTTGTTGTTTTTTTATGAATTTATGTGTTGTTTTTATATTCATTATGAGTGAGAAATCATAATAATTTTAAAAAAGTTCTTAGTGTAGGGAAATATAATGATAATAAATAGAAAAAATCAATCTAAATAACATTATGGGTTGGTATTTATCAATTTCTTACGTTTTCAGTTATAAAAATGGCAGTAAATTCATTAAATATTGGTTGGATAACTTTTTTTTATGAATCAGCCCTTTTTTCTCACTACTTTTGGCGATATGCTCGAAAAAAAAAAAAACGATTTTTTTCAAAAACTGTCCTTTGACGACTCCTACTGGTGAACCAATGCGAGTTACAAAAAAAACTCAAAAGCAATTTTAAAGAGCGAGAAATTCCCCATAAGGTGTTTTAAACCGATTTGCAATATTGTCAAAGGTGGGTAAGCATTACAAAATTGGAAAAAAATATATTTTTTTTACATGCATTTTAAACGGTAAAACTTTAAATTTAAATAGTAAGTGCTTAAAATTAATATTAAGAGCTCAAACTTGGTGATAATGTTTTTTCCTATATGCAGATTAATATTTTGCTTGAGCACCGAAAAAAAACAAAAACTTTGCGGAAATGAATCACCCTAGTATACAGGGTGCCCCACAATTAGTATTTTTTAAATAATAAAGGTAAGTAAAAATTAAAGTAGATTTATATTGACATATTAAAATTCAAAACATGCATCAAATAACATTGCAAGTGACATTTATCATATTTACTATATTTATCATTATATAAAACATTTATAATATATGACACTATTATACATTTACATGGACCCTTATTAATTTAATAAAAAAAGTCAATAATATCCTTTGAAGGACTGACAGGCCAACTCATGACCAATCAGAAAAACTAAACATGACCTTTGTAAAAAATGACTAGTTTTTGAGATATTGGCATTTTTATGTAAAATTTAACACCTTAGATCGGTTTTTCAAATGCCACAGCTACAAAATTCCATATGCTAAGATTCTATTACTTTTTTACCTTTTGAAAACAAACAATTTTGCCTGGTTTTTTTATTAGCTAATTTTGACCCCTTCAGACTGTAAAAAATATGACACGTAACTTGGCAAGATATTTTAAAAATTTGCTAATTAAGTTAAGTTTTTAAAATGATATAACATGGTTTACTTTAAAGAAAAATATACAGTGGAAGCAGGGAATTTTTTGTTTTTTTGTTTATATTTTATCATTAAACGTTTAAACGTTAAGTCCATCTTCTGTCCTTATTTGCAGCTAACTTGTCAATAAAAGCCTCAATACTCAGTACTTCACCGTTAAAGTGTTCATAATAATTGTTAAAATTTTAATGCAACAAAGAACTAATAATAAAAGCCCTTATAAAAGCGCTAAACGCAGGAACGCACCACGAATTACGAAATTAAACAAGGTAATCTGTGGCAAACTGGTTTTGGAGCACACTAAGTTTTCCTATTAAAAATTCGCGATTCCCCCGCCACCAGCAGGCTAAGAATATACAGAGAAACTCCGCCTACTTTATCTCACGTGCGACTGTTCTACGTCATCAAAGCTCGTTAGTTTCATTCGTAAGCGCGCGAGGCGAGATAATTATTAAGGGGCTTGGGAACGGTGCGATAATAATTATTAAAAAAAATAATATTAAATTAAGCATTCTATTAATTTAGAATTATGTACTAAAATGATATTGCTGTTTTACTGCAAAACGAGCTCGTAAAATTATTTCAATAATTTAAAACTAAAATAGGAACACTTTAATATTTAATGAAAGTAACAGATATTTATTAAAATAAAAACTAAACAAACCACAAAAACAAATTAAGGGATGTTTTAAATTGACTGCCACCAAGTCAAATGCAAGCAAGGCATCTTTAAAAAAAATATTTTTATCCGTCTTGCATTTCATGCGTTCTTTATTTATTGTAAGGCTTTATTAATACTCAATTTAGGACTTAAATCCGCAGACCGAAGAGGCCACAAAATTGAACCAAGATAGCAGATTCATCTCTCTGAATAAACCTGATCCAAATAAGTTCTCACTCCTTGTGCGTAATTAGCTGTTCAAACCACATTGCCCAGCCTGTTGCCGCAGAATGTTGAAGAAACATATAAATAGGGAGCAGAGTTCCTAGATACAATTTTATGGACTAATGATAGCACATTTGCACATTTGGTTTTAAGAACATGCACAATCTTTATTGTTATGCACTTACATTGAATTCAAAAAGAAAGGTCAATTTTTTTCTACTGGGATTGCAAAAAGGAAAATGTCTATGGAACAGTAATTCAACGTAAATGAATTGAGACACCGAATTATTGAAGCCACAACAAATAAATGGCGCAGTACAAGACGGATCTTTTTTATGGCAATTTGAACACCAATTTTATTTGTTGTGATTCGTTCAGTTTTAACTAAATATATCTTACTTGTATTAAACAAGTGTTTTATTTGAATTTATAATAATTGAAATAATGTTAGAATAAACTCGTTTTGCAGTAGAAAACAATATATTTTTCTTAAAAATAAAACATGGCGGGCAGAAGGACGTAGGTCAATAGCCCTTTGGTTAACCCAATAAAGACATGGCTAATGTTATACCATTTTAAAAGCTGCACTAAATAGGCAATTTTTTAAAATATCTTACCAAGTTATCGTGGTAAATTTTGTTTACAGTCTGAACGGTCAAAATTAGTTAATAAAAAAAACTAAAATCGGGCAAAAGATAAAAAACTACCATTAATTTTATTTTGAACTGTAATCAATAGCAGGCCTAATCAGGGTTGCACAACATAAAATAAAATCCTAGAATATGAAATTTTTTAACTTTGTCAATCTAAGGTGTCAAGTTTCATAAAATTCATAAAAATGCCAATATCTTAAAAACTAATAGGTCAATTCTGTGTTGTCTCGTAAAATTTCTGTAAATTTGTAAATCTATAGCTTACGATGATCTGTAACTATAATGCTTATAGAATCGTTCAAGTGGCAAGTCTGGGATGTTATCTGTAAATGTCCAATTTAAAGTAGTATAAACGAACTACTGCAACTTCACGCCTATTTACTTACGATCAAACATAACCCTATATTTTTATATGTATTATATGTATCAGCCACAGACCAACAAGGTCTGTGGTACCAGCATATAATATAATACAAAAAGTAAGAAATTTAAAGTGGTTGAGGAATAAAATGAGGTAAGATAATTTTACATTAAAAAGAACATATAATATAATGAATAAAATTGTTAGTGTGTTGAGTGAAGAAGTCAATCAATGGTTACCCTATTAAAAATGCCCTATAGAACCCATATTGATCCAGATAAGGAAACTAATATGGATTTATATGGTTCTATATGTCCTATATGGAACGACCTGGTTTACACTTTGGAATCTATATGGTTTAATATGGAATTTCATTTTAAAATGTACAACTTAGGGATTTTTATATGGATTTATCTGGTTTCTGTTTTATGTGTTTTTCCATATATGGAAACCTATATATATAGGTTTCCCTATATGGTTGAATATGGAATTCCATTTTAAAATGTATATATATTTAAACGAAAATTGCATATTAAACCATTTAGATTCCCCTATATGGTTAAATATGGATCTATATGGTAATAATTTTTTCACACCCAAACCATATTGGGCCAGATAGAGCAATATGAACCTATATGGCAATCCCTATAGAAAGCACTTTTCTATATGGTTTTCCAGGTATGGAATTCTATCTGGTTCAATAGTGCAATGCCTGTTTCAAATTCCTATATTGAACCAGATAGATTTTTATTTTGTGTTTCTATATGGCATTTTTAATAGGGTAGTGGTAACGCAAAAGCAACAAAGAGAAAAAGATAAAAAATCACCACTCCTCAACTGTTGAGCTATATATGGATGCAATTGATGAAGATTATGCATTGGGCCAAAGATGGCAGGAACTTAATAAATTTGAACAAGGAGCAGAAAATAAAAAAAAACATTTTGAGCTTATTAAAAACTATTTAGAAAATTATATAAAGCTGAAACAGTTAGGATTTGAAATGAAAAAAATTAAATTTTTAAATCCAAATTTTGATATTTGTCCCATTAATTTTTGACTAATTAGAATATTTATTTATTTTGTGTTTATTTCTTTTTGACCGAGTAGGCTGTGGTTTATTTTTTTTATAATATTATTTTATTTTATTTTTATATGTAAAATAAAAATATAAAGTTTTTGTATTAATACAATAATTCTTTGTATTAATACAATTATTGTTTTATTTAGTCTAAATTAAAATTATTTCTTATGTAGTTGGCCCAGGTTGCTTGTCCCAATTGATAAATATTACCATTATCATATCCACATTGACATAATTAAAAATATTCATGTTTTTAATTTTTAAAATAGCAAAAACCATCTGTAACTAGCAACGATTGGGAAACACCCGATCGTAAATATTTACGATTCTATAAGATTTTCTGTAAGCTACAGGAAGCGCAGAATTGCAAATTGTCTATAAGCTTATAGAAAGTTACAGATTTGCTTATAGATGCTTACAGATGTGCGCAGAATTGACCTATAAGGATTTTTTACTAAGGTCATGTTTTTTTTTAGTTGGTCATGAGTTGGCCCATCAGTCCTAAAAAGGATATTGTTGACTTTTGGGATACCCTGTATACCTATTATAGAACTGATCATAATTATATAAAAAATTGGAAGTGGTAAATTTCACTTACAATGTTATTTAATGCATTTAGTGTAAGGTATAAAAATTGCTAAAGCTAAGTGGACATAATTACTCAAATTAAAACATACTTAAAAGTCTTAAAAAATGATCTACCTGTATGTTTCTATAAAACCAATGTATGTCTCAATGGCTGGCCCTTTATCCTTGATCCAAAATCTGGAACCGTTTTTGTGTTCATCCAGAGAGCCTGTTCTGAATGATTTCACATAGCAAGACAGCATTTCCTTTTCAGTTTCGTTAGCAGCATGTTCTTTAGCTTGTTCTAGCAAAGTTGCCACTTTTCCCATAATGGGAAAATAATCCCCAGTAGTTAGTAAATAGGTAATGTTATCTACAGTCTCTTTTTTTAACTCAGAAATCTGTTCTCCAGCTAAACGAATTTCATAAGTAATCTAAAATTTATATTTTGTTAAAAATATAAATTAATATTTTTATAAAAAATACCTTATTATCTGCCTCATATTTAAATAATCTTGAATTATAGGCTTCTAACTTGTGTGATTTCAACCAATTTTGCACTTTTTCATTATCCTCAGGTGTGCAATTTCGGGAGAGATATGTTGTAATACCTTTGGGTCTGTAACCCAAACAATTTTTTCCATCACTTAAATCGTACAAAACATCTTTTAACTTTAACCAAATGGGTTCCAATTCTGACCATTTGCCACTGACTTTCAATAGAGCCTCAAGACGATCTGCTTCAATATTTGGAATAAATTTACTATCACCAAATCCCTAATAATGGAAAAATTAAAAAATATTAAAATATACTTAACGGAAATAAATTAGTATTTGTTGTCAGTAAAATGTTTAATATTGCTTTAAAGCTACATATGTACTTACTAAGAAACCAATTGCAGGGTTTTGTAATATTAACCCGCGTTTTGTTTTTATGGCCTCTTGAAGTTCAGATTATTTGTGGCCAATGTTTGATTGTTTTCGACTTGTAAATAAGTTAAATTAGTGAATTAATAAAGCAAACAAGTGTTAATTTGTCTTTTATCATTGAAAAAGGAAAATATGATAAATCCTGATCCAAAAAACACCCTGTATCTCGTTTTTTTCGTAAGGAATTCTGTCCTAAAGTTACGGCACGGATACTCTGTATATGTCAGGATCAGGGGCGGATCCAGAATTTTAAGAAGGGCGTGTGTCCACACAAATGTTTGTATATAATTTTATAATAATAATAAAAATAAATAAAATTTTGATATTTGATTCCCTGGACCAGAAAACTCCCCCGTTGATCCGCCTAGGTCAGGATTTAGCATATCTCGCTTTTTTCATTGATACAATACTAAATTTTACTTATTTGATTTATTAATTCATTTATTTAATTGATTTACAAGTCGCAAAGAGTCGAAAAATTGGCCAAAAAAAATGCCAACTTCAAAAGGCCATACAATTTGTATGATACAAAAACTTGTTAGTCTGTCAGTCTGCTGGTATACTTATTTGGGCTGGAAGCAATGACCCGAAAAATTGTTGCACTGTGTAATTATTGTTAAAACAATCTGAATTAAACATAGCTATATGTAGCAAGATACATACACCTTAAGATAGGATGGTGCGCATGGTGGGCGGGGCTAAAATACGTCACATGACGTCACTTGATGAGTAGTTTTAAATCTCTAACGTTCGTTTTAATTATCTGCCGGTAAAATTCTGGTTTTTGCGAAGCTGTTAGATGTTAAATTGCTCTGTTTTTTTGTTTAACTTGTTGTTTTTGCGTTCTGTAAGGTTAGAATTACTTTTCAGTGTTTAAATTATTGTTATAGGTTTGTGTTAACCTGTTCTGTTTGTGCTAAAATTATTGTTTTTGTGTTTCGTTGTTTTGTTTGTGTATTAGTTTGTGTTGCGCCATTTGCATTTATTAAAATGCGGTGTGCCATATTTGGATGCATTTCGGACAACCAGTCCAAGAAAAACCCTACAAATAAAGACATTAAATTCCATCGATTTCCGAAAAACATAAGTTTGTGCGCGCTACTGTTTGCTCTAAACATTTTCTGGACAGTGACTACAACTTTAATTTGAAACATAAACTCTTAAACTACTATTTTCGTAGGTAATTTAAATTTTAATAAATATTTTTGGTTAAAATTATATATCTTTAATATCAAATTCACAAAAAACGCACTATGTCCAGATATGTCTTTATGTTTTGATAATATTACTAGCATCCATATTAATAAAATACTTTTAATATCAAATTTACAACAAAAAATAGATTTAAATACAGTAGTATCAAATATATTTTCAATATCAAGTTTAAAAATAACGCACTATGTCCAGATATTTGTCTATTTTCTTTGATAATATAGCTATTATACGTGTATTCGCGCTGCAACTACTCATCAGGTGACGTCATGCGCGGCGCGAACAAAAACTCGTCCGCGGGAGCATCCAGCCCTGCATATGTAGTGATGTAGAGTGGGGAACGTTCCGTTCGTGCTGTGGCGAATATTCGCGAACGTTCGCGCACAATTAAATCGTCCGTGCGCGCATGATAGATCGTTCTTTCGTGTCCAAACGATTTATCGTGCGCGAACGTTCTCTAGAGAATTTTGAGCACGATTCTGGCCAATCGGCGCGTGTATTGCACATAATACAGCCCTGGTAATATCTTCAAATAGTTAACAAACTTAAATATTTGATTTAATAAATATGCCCAGAAGAAAATGCGAGGCATTTGATTTTTTTTTATAAAAAGTTTTTTTATGGTACCTAAATTCTTACATGATGTTTCTACATCACGATACTTATGTACTTTGTATGCTACATAGTAATAATACTCAGTATTATTTCTATGGTATGCTACTTAAGATGTTACTTAAAATTTTGCTATTTTTTACTTAATAAAGTTTTTTTTAAGTTAGAAGTAATAATTGTATTATTTACAACCCAGAATATTAATACATTGTCATTTTTCTTAAGAAGCATTAGGAGAATTTTGAGCATTTTTAGCATTTTGAGAATGTTGAGCATTTTCGGAAAAAACGGAAAAGTAAGTTTTTGAATACTTTATCACACCCCAAACATAAATTCTCGGGTTTTTTTCGTTTATGCTCGTTTATTCTCGTTCATGCTCGGGGAACGTTCTTCTAAAATACGTGCTCGAGAATTTTACATCACTAGCCATATGGTTTGTGGATTAGTTTAATGTTGGACCTTATGGACCTCTTAGTTTTTCAATAATAATAATAAAAAAGAGCTTTCTCTAATTTTGCATTGTAATTGTTAGAGACCGTATTATATGCAACATAAAAAGGCTGTAATATGCAAGGTATGCATACTCCTAATAATAATAGTATTTTCCGAATTAATAAAACAAAGATCCAAAGCCATTGTTTTTTATATGTGGGATGACTTGACATTAAGATTTTTTTAGGTGACAGTGTGATAGGTCTAGACCTTTTTAAGGTCTAGACGGATAAGTTGTCTGGGGCCCTTTACCATTGGGAGTCCAACTAAAGGCTTTTTTCATATTTAATAGGAGCATACATTTTTCTATAAACATAATAATAATTTTCATTATTTTTTCAAATCGTTTGTGTACATATTTTAAAAATTCGGTTAGGTTCAAGATGTTTAGCCTAAACGGTTTAGGTTATATAACTATAAGAACCTTTTTCTACTTCTATTATGGAATTTGACCGTTCTAATATCACTTTTATCTATGGAATGACATATATTCCGTAAAGTGTTACATAATGAAATATTCTATCATCGGATGACAGAATAAACACTCGTGGCGACATCTCTGGTTTTAATATCCAACAAATTTTAGACCGATCCAACCTCACTTTCTTCCAATTAAATTATTTTTCTATGTTATTTTTTGGAAAAGTAGAAAAAGTATAGTCTGAAACACGTTTGGAATTGCATATTCCTCTCTCGTGAAACCGTCAAACTTGCCTTCGGCTCGTGTGACAAACTCTTCACTCGAGCGGAATATGCTGTATTCCAAACTTGTTACAGAATATACTATTCTATTATGGGGTCCTTATGGACCCCATAATAAAAAAGTCAAAAACCTAATAATGTATTGTAAAAAAATAGCGGAAATATGCTACCAGAGCAGGTTATTAGTAAAATATGACAAAATCTTAAACAATAGCAAAAATATGCATTTGCATACAATCCGGTCTCTTTCGTCTTAATTCGATTCAATAGAGAAAGAAAGAAAAGAGAAAAATGAAAATTTGCATTAAATTATTTTATTCAACACCTGCAAGAAACTAAAGGTAGGCGAAATATTAAATTCCCTTATTGTTTATTTGTTAACTTTAAGCCGTGGGCGAAAGGCTACTTTGCCCACGGGCTGAAGTTAGCTTTAAATTAAAATTGGAGAAATGTCGGATATAATTTTCGCGGTAGTTGAATAACATATTATGTGCAATTATTGGTCAAAAGTACGCCACCGTGGCGTACCTTCAGGCGTAGGTTAAAGAGATTCTGGAATGTGCCAATGCCGTTAAAGGGCTCAATAAAAGGGGGAAGCGAATAGCTGTTTGGACGGATAGCAGAGCGGCCCTGGCTCTTGTTTCCATTACGGTGACCTCAAGACTGGTGGGGAAATGCCGAGAGGCCATGAGAGAAATAGCGTGGAACAACAAAGTCTCCCTGGTTTGGGGCCCCGGCCATATGGGCGTCAGGGGAAACGAAGAGGCAGACTGGTTGGTTAAAGAAACCACACAAAGGGAGCCTGAAACCAGAGAACCAGCAATGTACATCCCACATGCATATGTAAAAGGTTGTATTGATAGCTGGATAAGAAAGGAACACATCAAGTTCTGGACGGCATGCCAGAGCCTTTCTACGAGATAAACCCAAAAAGGACCCGGACCCTAAAATTAAATAGGAGGAAAATTGGGCTCTTTGTCAGGGTGACAACGGGACATGGGGGCCTGAGGTAACACAGTTTAAAAATGGAACACGACGTGAATTTTAGCAGGATGTGCGGGGAGGGGGATGAAACCCTACTGCAAGTGCTGACCGAATGTGAAGCACAGACAAGACTCAGATAGAGCAGCTGGTAGCCCAGACTATGGACCTGAAGACCCCCAAGGGGGGCACCCCAAATACAATTTAAAACTATGATTCAATGCGTTGAGGAAATAAGCAGTGCTTAAAGCGTCGCCATATGTAACTAGGAAAACCATAGAAAAAGAAAACTAAATCTACCATAACCTTAAAAATATGTCCACAAATATTGATTTAGTTAGTGATGCCAACTCTTTGTCAATCATTCTATTAAGTCAAACATAAAAATCCTACTAGAATCCTACTAAACCAGCCAAACAAAATCACAACTAGGATTTTTTATACAAAAATAAATCAGACTTGATTAGACTCAATAATCAAAAATAAACCAACACAATCATAAAACTCTTAATATAAAACTAAACATTATTTTACAAAATTAGCCCAAAGTAATACTTATCCGCATGCATTTGCGTGAGCAAAGTTGTACTTTTCCTCACGCTTACATGGCGTACGCGAGTAGAAAAAAAAGCTAAAAATAGAAAATTTTGAAAAAATATTGTTCCTAACACATGCGCAAAGTATTGGTTTAGTTAGTGATGCCAACTCTTTGCCAATCATTCTACTCAGTCAAACATAAAAATCCTACTAGAATATTCTAGGATATATATCCTACTAAATCAGACAAACAAAACTACAACTAGTATTTTTTATACAAAAATTACACTTTATTACTAATCAATGATTAGGCTCAATACTCAAAAATAAACCAACAAAATCTTAAAACTCTTAATATAAAACTAAACATTATTAGCATTTTCGTGCGCAAAGTTATGTTTATAAAATGTAACTTAAATTAGTAGGTATATGTGACTTACAAATTATAACTTTATTTTCAAACACTGGTGTAACTTACATTTGTATTTCAAATTAGGGCATATAATTAAGCTACATTTTCAACGTTTTACAATCTATGAGCAACGTTACTATCAGGTTTAGGTAACAGTATTGTTTGCTAGGATATCCTACTAAATCAGACAAACAAAACTACAACTAGGATTTTTTATACAAAAATTACACTTTATTACTAATTAATGATTAGGCTCAATACTCAAAAATAAACCAACAAAATCTTAAAACTCTTAATATAAAACTAAACATTATTAGCATTTTCGTGCGCAAAGTTTTACTTTTCCTCAAGCTTACATGGCGCACGCGAGTAGAAAAAAAAGTTAAAAATAGAAACTTGCTTGAAGAAAAAATATTGTGCGCAAAGTATTTTTTTGGAACAAAAATTATTTAATTACCTAGGTACCTATGTTTATTTTAATCATTAAAATTGAATGTCTTTTATAAACAGTTAAAAAAGAAGTATCAACATTTTGTCTCATATCAGTTAAATATTGGAATAACTCAAAATTATTAGTTTGAAGTAATTAAATTAAATAGTTTATAGTTCCAGTGATTATAATAATTAGGAGCCATTATTGAGCTAAAGTGCCTTTATAGACCATCCCAGTTTTTTTTCCAAAACTAGAAGAGGTAAATGAGTAAAATTGGTTATGCCAAACCTACTGTAAATAAAATTACATGGTAAGTTGAAATATTGGTCAGGGCCCCTGACTCAAGGGCATCCCAAACAGGGTGGGACTTTTTTGTGTATTGACTGTTTGCCAGTTTAAACCAACATTATTATATAATACAGTTTTTTTATTTAATAAAATCACCTCGTATTAACCCAATTAGTTAGCAGCTTATAGTAAAATTGATTAAAAATTCTTCAATAACCTTTCGTTTGCAAAATAACTATTTTTTTTAAATTTTGAACACCCTATCTTTAGAATAAAGTTATTTATTAAATCATAAATAAATCTTACCTTATAGTTTCCTGCATTTGAGAATACACCAGCAGCGTAAACAAAAAAGGCAGTAACTTCATCCTCAGTAAACCCTTGAAGTAACGCCAACTTCTTAAAATCAGCAGGATTTTGAGCATTAAATAGCTTATGCAATAAAACAAATAAGTAACCAGACTCGGGGCTTGTTTGCAATAATGTGACCAACCCTCCAGTCCATGATGCCTTGCTGATATAGTGCGAATACAGTTTTTCTTTTTCTAATAATCCATTAAATGCTGATTGTACTTCCAAAACTACAACCGGCTGGTCGTTTGGCAAAACATATTGAGACTTATCAATTTCCATTTTTGATCTAGAACGAATTAGTAATTTGTATGATAATTTAGGTCTCTTGGTAAAACTTACATAAAAATTAATATAAACGGATAAACGGATTAAAGCAACTTTCTTTAAAATGATGATACGGCAAATATGTAAAGTTTGTGGTTATGAAAATAAAGATAAGTGACGTTTATATTAATGCGTATTCTTAGTTGCCTAGCGAAAACAAAAGTAATCGTAGTTGCCCAAGTTGAGATATTGCACTCAGTAAAGCTTAATTTTCATGTATCCGTTTGTCTTCTAGAGATTCGTCATTATGTTGTATGACTACAATTATTAATCATTATTTAATTTAGTCGATTGATAATTTCATTATTTATGATTACTCAAAACATGAATGATGGATAATAACCATTATAACCGATTCATGATTACTTTGTTGTATTTAAATACAACAAAGTAATCATGAATCGGTTATAATGGTTATTATCCATCATTATAATTATTATTCAGGATTACATTTTATTAATAATAATCATAATTATAATCATAATCGAATACATTTTGCCCTACTCTGCCCTTTGCACGTTGATTTTGTTGAAATCATTTGATGTTTTGTATTATTGGAAACAGGTTCATCCTCAGAAGATGTTGTTTTCCTAGGACGTACAATTCACAGATTATAAAGAATTTGTGTACTATACATTTGTCTACTGTCTACTATAGTATTAACAGTAGGGTGCCGTATAGGGGGCCAGAGGGGCGGCGCCACCCCGCCCTTCTGCGCAGAACGCATTTGGCGCCCTAATAAGTTGACAATTTTGTATCAAATAAAAAAATGTTGTTTTTAAGAAAGTTCGCTCCCTCCGCCCTTAGACCCACGGCACGCTACTGAGTAATTTGTAAGTATTAGCCTAATACTAGGTGGGTATATATACTATAGATAGTATATACTATATAGTAGGTACATAGATGTCAGTAAAACAGTAAAGTGTACATAATGCATATATACAGGGTGTTTCATAATATATGCGCAGGACTTCAGGATGTGATAGCTCATCCAAAAAGATGAAAAAAGTCGCTTTTAACTTACCCTCTAAAATGCACAATTTTCGAGATATAGGGTGTTGAAATTTTAGAAAAAAAATCGTTTTTTTCGGAACCGTTTATCGTACAAAAACAGCTTTTGTAAGCATTTTTTACTCATAATAAGCTATATAGCTTATTATGAGTAAAAAATGCTTATTATGAGTAAAAAATGCTTAAATGCTTAAAACATATGTTTTGTGCCAGAAAAAATTCTTCTACGCCCCTGAAAAAAGTACGGCTTTGAGAGGCCCATTCGAACCGCCAATGTTTTCTACACAAAAAAGGTACTCCTGGTCATAAGCTCTAAAGTTGACCGTTTTCGAGAAGAATCAACTTTTATGTTTAAAAACATGGTAAATTTTTTGAAAAAAATTTTTTTTTACTAAATAAACAAAATTTATTTTAACGTTAGAACAAGTAACAAAACCAAACGATAATTGCAAAATTAAAAAAAAAATTAAAAATGATTCAAAAAGTTAAATTAAATGTTGGAAATGTCCACCGTTAAATGCACTGCAATCCTTCGACGCATTGACTGTCTAACACGCAGGAAAATTCCCGGAGTGTTCCGAATTATGTCGCAAGATGCAACAATGCGTTCTCTTAATTGGTCAACATTTTCAACTGGAGTAGTGTAGACTAGGGTTTTTAGATGGCCCCAAAAGAAAAAATCTAAACTATTAAGTTCGGGAGATCGCGGGGGCCAAGGGTGCGGACCTCCTCGACCGATCCAACGGTCTTGGTATGTGTCGTCCAAGTATTGGCGAGCAACAAAACTAAAGTGGGCTGGAGCTTCATCATGCATAAAATACATGTTCTGTCTTACACAAAGCGGTACAACTTCCAGCAGTTCCGGCAGTACTTTTTCAAGAAATTGTCGATAATCTGCACCGTTTAATCTGTTCGGTAAAAAATGTGGGCCTATCAAATGATTATCGACGATACTATAGTATCGGCTATAGCCCAAACATTGTCGAAAAATTGCTGCTGATGATGGCCTTCTGAAATTTTATGTGGATTTTCTTCAGCCCATACCTATGTGGTTATTGTGAAAATTGAAAATACCATCTCTCGAGAAAGACGCTTCATCGGTAAACAGAACTTCACCTCCAAACTGAGGATTTTGAGCTATTTTGTCTTGCATCCATCCACAAAAAGCCAATCTTGGCGGAAAATCTCTTGGCAATAAGGCTTGTACTCTTTGGATATGGTAGGTATACAAAAGTGGTACTTGTCTTCGGATTTTCTTCAATTTCGTTGAGGACAGCCTCTTCTACTTGGGGATTTGCAACTTCCATAGGCCGCCCATTATCAGCAGTATTCTTTTTAAAACTTCCATTTTCCCATAGTCGTTGGTGAATCCCAGATAACACAATACATGCCAGAAACATACAATTTATACAATGTTTCGGACTTAAATCGTATATCCCTGCGATGTTTCCTCAGTAACATTTCTGGTGTGATTTCCCCAAGATGTTGCATAAACATTTTAAATAGCTGATATTGGTACAAATATAAAATAAATTTATATCAAAACACATAACACACTATTAAAAAAATAACCAATCAATTTTTAGCAAAACACCAAATTATTAGTATACTTTGTAATTTTTAAATTGAACGCGAACAATGACGTCATACTAGTTACTTTTTAAGTGATTGTTACCTGGGAAATTTTGTTTTGTTTTGTAACCAACTTGTTACAAATATTAAATAAATTTATATCAAAACACATAACACACTTTATTAAAAAAAAATAACCTATCAATTTAGCAAAAACGCCAAGATGTTGCATAAACATTTTAAATAGCTGATATTAGTACAAATATAAAATAAATTTATATCAAAACACATAACACACTCTATTAAAAAAATAACCAATCAATTTTTAGCAAAACACCAAATTATTATACTTTGTAATTTTTAAATTGACCGCGAAAAATGACCTCGTACTAGTTACTTTTTAAGTGATTTTTACCTGGAGAATTTTGTTTTGTTTTGTAACCAACTTGTTACAAATATTAAATAAATTTATATCGAAACTATATACCTATAGATATATGATCAAAACACATAACACACTTTATTAAAAAAAAAATAACCTATCAATTTAGCAAAACCACCAAATTCTTATAATATCAATAACTTTGTAATTTTTAAATTGACCGCGAACAATGTCGTCATACTAGATATTTTTTAATTGATTGTTACCTGGGGAATTTTGTTTTGTAACCAACGGCATCTCTGTAGGTTCGCGGCTTTTATTGCCAAGAATGACATTTCGTGAAAATCGAGAACGTTCTGTGTCGAGAATTTTCTTCTCGTTTTATAATGTGATCACAGTAATTTAAGACTTAAATTAAATTTTAAGTTGTACACTTTAAGTTATTGTTTTGTGTGGGTGGCCTGAGGCGTCTTTTTTGGTAAGTAAATTATGATGATTTGGTAAGAAAACATTATAAATATTATTATAATTAAATTCTATATTAGTTTCTTTTTTAAGGTTTTATTTTTTGTGGGTATTGGTGGCAATAACCTGTATGATTTTATTTCAGACCAGGTCGCACAACAGTTTTCCTTTATTGGAAAAAAGGGCAAAAAAGATTTTAGCCAATCCAAGATTTCTAAAGCTGTTTTAGGTAATAACTCGTCGAATCCGCAAAACCTCGTATGAAAAAAACTGTAGTTTTACAGGAGACGAAAAAAACATTAAAAGCTCTCATATCTGGCTTTTTTTAAATATACCTATAGGACAAATTAATTTGTTTTTAAGGGTCTTGAGATTATCTTGGGAGATAAGAGGTTTTACAATCATGTGCATTATTATATCGACCCATGCAACGAAGACTATAGTAACTCAAAAAACGTGGGTTTTGACTTACTATATGGCATCAACAGATTTTTTCAAGCTCTATTTGGTGGAAGATTACAGTAACCCAGACATGAAACGATAGGCAACCAGTGAACAACTTCCCTGTATAGTAAGTGTAATAATCCACATTCCTACAGGCGAAAACTAAGTTGAGTTACTCTAGTCTACAATCAAAACTGAGTTACAATAGTCTTCGTTGTATGGGTAGATATGAGGTAAGTACTTAATTATGCAAAAAAAATCGATTTTGTCAAAAATGTCTCAAACGAGTTTTTGCGGATTCATCGATGAAGAGTTTTGTAAATTTGTATCTATTTATTTTTATTTATGCGTATTTTCAGTTATGTTAATGGTTTTATGTTAATTAAATGATAAAAGTATTTAATGTTTTTTATTTAAGGAAAAAACCTATAAAAATTTCATAAATGTTTTGTATAAAACATTTCTGTTATGTTCTGAAAGTAAATATAAAATGTCTTAAAGACATACCTACAACATTCTAAGATGATCTCAAAACATCCCAAAAGGATGGCCGAGGGACGTTAAAAAGGGCGAAATGGTCATTGCCAGAAACATTTCTGGTATATCTGTGGGAAAATAGGGTCATTCCTGGGATGTTTCTATTGTCGCATGCATATGTTTCTGGCATGTTTCTAGTATATACTTGTGTTATTAGGGATGCGTTGAAACAAGTTATGGTGTTGACCTCACCGTGTGGTACTTATTGACCAGGATGTCTTTCTTGATACAACCGCCTTGCTTCTGCCGAATTACCGCTCGCCATTCCCTAAAGGTAATGCATTTCGTACATTTCAGCGTTTGTGTAATTCATTTTTAATTTTGTAATACAAACTTACTTTTTGCAGGTACAAACTAATTGTTATTTTGACAGGAGGTAGCTTTTGATTTAAAATTTAAAGCCTACTTGATAAAAAAAATTATACATTTTTTACACAAATGCTGAAATGTGCGAAATGCGTTACCTTTACGGTTTGGAGAATTTTGCAAAGACAACTTTTGAATCATTTTTTTTTATTTTGCAATTATCGTTTGGTTTTGTTACTTGTTCTAAAGTAAAAATAAATTTTGTTTAATTAGTAAAAAATTTTTTTTTTTTTTAAATTTATCATATTTTTAAACATAAAAGTTGATTTTTCTCGAAAACGGTCAACTTTAGAGCTTATGACCAGGAGTACCTTTTTTTTT